CCGGCGCCAATGGGAGCGGGCGGGCGGCGCCGGGCGCGGGCGGCGGAGCCTCTCGGCGAACAAAGAGGGAGCGGGAGCGGGCGGAGGGACGGCGAGCGGGCTGAGGGGGGAGCGCCCGGCCATGAGGGGCCGGCGGCCGCGGCGCGGGTGAGGCGCTCCATGGCCGGCGGGTCGGGGTGAGGCAGGCGCGGGCATGGCGGGCGTGAGCTACTCGCCGCCCTGGTGGGTGAGCCTGCTGCACCGCCTGCCGCACCTCAGCCTGCGCTGGGAGCTCACCGCCGCCGACTTCCGACCGCACGACGCCGAGTACCAGCAGGTGGGTCTGCCGGGGGCCGGGCGGGGTGCGGGGTGAGCACCCCCGGCTGTGCGGAGGGAGGAGGAGGAGGGGGCGTGCGGCCCCGCTGGGGCTCCCCGGGTGGGTGGCCGAGGGTGCCGTGTCCCCCCTGCTCCAGGAGCCGCAGGTGCCCCCGCAGGGCCGGGGCAGGCGGGGTCCCGCTGGGGCGGCAGGTCAGCACCCCCAGCCTGCCCCGAACCCGAGCTCTTCTTGGCACAAGGTGAAATGCTGATAAAATCACCGAGGTTGGAGAAGCCCTGCAGGATCAGCGAGCTCAGCCTTCGACCCAGTCCCACCGTGTGCCCACCGACCCGCACCGCGAAGGGAGCCCGGGACGGGGCAGAGCCCGGGACGGGGCAGAGCCAGCCCTGCGGGATGGCCCGGCCGGGTCCCAGCGCTGCCCAGGCCAAGGCAGCGTCCCGGCCTGGAGCCCCGGGCTGCCCGCAGCACCCGGCCTGTGCCGGTCCTGGGCAGGCTCCGCTGACCGTCCCCTTTGATGCCGCCAGCCCCGCAGCGCGGCCAGCAGCGCCTTTCCAAAACCGGCTGCCTGCCTGCTGGAAAACAGATGACTTAATGCACGAGAGCGGCGTTAGCATCAAGTGCACAGGAGGATGCTCGCAGAATACTTGTGTGCAGCGCCTTTTTTTTTTTTTTTTAATGCTGCTTAGCCTGTATCCTGTGCTTGGTTGGCTGGGCATGTAATTAAAATGATTGTGGAGTGAATCTGTGTGCTCCAACATCTGTGTTCTCTGCTGTCATCTTGGAACAGAGCTGCAGTGACTCTGCTGCCTCGTTTTGCCACGGTCTCTGGTTTTGAAAACACCATTTTGCTTTTCTGAACATACTTGCAGTGTCCTATATACACAGCCGGCTATCGTGCACACAGGCATGAAGGCATCTAAGCATCTAAGCAGTTCTTGTTTATCCTAGAAGTAGAAGATATTAGAAATACTTTAGGAAGCAGTATGTTTTGGCTTTTTGTTCTAAACAGATGAAAAGATGTGAGGACTGAAGCTAGAGCAAAATGTGAGAGATGTATTTAAAGAGCCATGGGTAGATATAAAGAAACATCTTTATACCATCAAATCAAAGGGACTTTTGCGCTAACTTTGTATTTTGAGGCTTCAATTTGTTAATTTGTTTTAGTTCCCTTGGCTTAGTAGAGTTCAAGATGGCCACATGCAGATGTAACGCTGCACAGCAGCTGAACTGTATTTCCATGACCTCAGAGGGTAGCTGCCTTTAAAACAAGGGATGTGGGATCCTGGAGATCAGAAGTTAAGAGTTCATTGAAAGATCTTCTTGGGAGTGTGTTATCATGAAATAAGCACTCGGTGACCTTTTGAATAGACAGCAGATGTACCAGTTTTCACTTAAATTGCTTAAAAGCATTCCTAGCAATAATCTGGGGTTGTGTTTGTTTGTCAGATAATTTTTCTACAGTAATCATATTCCCACTTAAAGCCTTCTGCTGTTCTCCTCCTGTGTAGCTGCCTCCCCTCCCTTGATGACATTAAGGACTTCTTGCTCAGCAGTCGATGGCCTTTTAAGTCTTAACATCAGCTCGCAAGAAAACATCTTATCAAATCCAAACTCGAATGTCTGGATTACTGAGGCGTCTGTCGTCAAGAGAATGATTTGAGCAGCAGCAGCTTTGCTGGTTTTGGTGCTGGAGAGGGGTAGCAAGCAGGCTCCAGCAGCACTGCAGCCTGTGCTATCAGTGCTGTGGTTATATAACGACGCTGCTGTGGCTCTGCAAGTTGGCTCTGGAGTTCGTAGGCACATAGATTAATTCTAATGCAGTGAACCAGGGAAACTTAATCCAGGACTGGGAACTGTAATGCTAAATGCTCTCTTGTGCTTTAAATGCTACTGAAGGCCTTTTTGTTTGAATTTTAGATTTTTTTTAAGAATTTGCACCTCTTGCTCTGTTTGCAGCCTGTGCTGGCATTGTCTTCCCTTAGCTTTAGGAACCTTTTGTATTTAACAGGTGAGATCATATACATGCTCAAAATTAGGAAGGCCATTTTTTAATTTTAACTTTGGCTTATTTTTCTTTACTTTGTAGGTGTCACTGGCACAAATTGTGTATATATTTGTTTTCTACTCCATTAATGATTGATACTCTGATTCTTAAGTATGAACTGTTAAACTACACACTGCATTTGATTTCCCCAGGGGCTGAGGAGAGGTCAGTGGGAGGATGCTAGATGAAGTTTATGGGGACAGGTAAGGGCAGGGTGTCCCTACCTGTAAGGAAGGATTATCTTTGCTAAACTACATGGCTCAAATTCATCTGGGAGCTGGACTGTTGCCATAAATAGCCATACAGCTGGGCTCAGTGTCCAGTCCCATTCTGACGTATTTTGAGGAAGGAAGCAATGTCCCCTTTCTGATTCTTCACTGCTTCTCTAGAAAAGATTTCCCAACCTGTGACCACAGGAAAGCAGCACTTTCCTTATAAAACTCTTTTATTTAGTCACCTTTTAGTAAATACCCACCTGTTTATTGCACTCGTGTTTTGATGATGGGCTTTGAAATTGTGCATCAACTGACCATCCCACTCCAGCCAGAAGTGGAATGCAGTGGCTTGGGTTTGCATGTTGTCCTGTCACTTGTTGCAGTGCCACGTGCTGCTGCAGGTGAGGAGGCTGCTGCCTGAAGAGGCTTTGCACCTCTGCCTAGCAGGATTAGTGTAATGCCAAGCTGCTATTCCCCTGGAGCAGCAGCCCAGCCATTGTGCCCTGGAACCTCTCTGAAGGAGGGCAGATAAGCACATGCTGCCACTCTTTGAAGTCGAGGTCTTTGTTAAGTCTTCTGGGACCCTGGTGATGGGTAATGTCTGGCAGGATGTAGATGTGTAGATGCAATGGCTGTTTCTGCTGTGCTGTCCCAAGGAGTCCCTTGGCCAGGGCAGCAGGGTCGCCTGCTGTGAGCTGGGCTGTCTCAAGGCTGCAGCCATTGTGTACCAACCTGCTGGGGCTTCCTCCTTTTGTCTGAGAGCATGAGAAATGCTCATGGCAGTGCTGCTGCCAAGGGCTGAGATCAGTGCAGCTGCAGGTTTTGGCTGCATACCTTCTTCACCTGAGTCAGGCTCTGAAACACTCTCTCTCGGTATTACTTTACTCTTTATCTTCTTCCACAGCATATCTTGTTACATTAGGTTAGACCAGTGTGGAGGAGCAGAACAGATCCTTCCCCTCTGGACTAGATTGTTTAAAAATGTATGTGCATCCTGATGTCCTTCAGATGCTCTGCTTCTGCCACAACAAGCAGTACAACCAGTTGTTTTCTTTTTCTGGAGGAATTGAGGTGAATCTCCATGTAGAATGAGCTGGGGTTCTGGTCCTTCTTCTGCAGGGGTTTAGCATGCTGGTGAGTCCTATCAGAGTCCTACTTGCAGGACTTGCTCCACAGTCCTCCCTACAGAGGATCTTATCAGACCAGCTCTTTTCCTAATCCTCCCATGAATCATTGGGGTTGAAAATATCTTGATATGAACAGCTTTGTTCTGGCTGTATTCTCATCTGAGTCATACTGCAGTGCTCTGCAAAGCCTTTTCATTGTGTAGTGAGTCACAAATTCTAGAGTGAAGGGAATGTAAAAATGGAGCAGAGCTCCTGTTCCTTCTGACAGCATCATGCTAATACTAGTTGAGGTCTCCCTGCCTTTTGCTGCTGATCAAATCATGATGATCTTTCCAGTACTGTCCACTTACTTTCCAGTTCAGTTGATTGGCCCAGTGAGATGGTCCTGAGACTGCTGCTGTCACTAGTTTAATTTATTTAGCAATGTGAGTACTCCTACTTGTGACTGACTTAGCTGCATGGCATTGAATTCACTTTCTTTCTCAGGGTAGAGTTGGTTAAGAGCCTTGAAGTAGTGTGGAGGTCACGTGCTGGAAAGAAATAGAAAAGC